GGTCAAGCTATTCACTGGCCTTATCGGCAAAGCTGTGCGGTTTGCTACCAACTCTACAGAGCCGATATACTCTCCAGACTGCAGACCCCGCGGGAGACGCCTATGATCGATATTGCTTCAGAGGCTGAGACTGAATCGCAGTAGCTGAGCACTTTGGTGAGTCTCCTACTCTCGAGCCAGTCGCACATTCCAGCACGACTAGCGGCAACCCCGCTGCAAGAGACGAGCGAGACGGAAACAAGAACGAAGATACGATGACTTGGAACTGCAACTAGGGTGTCATCTCGAGATGTTCTGTCCAGCAAAACTCTTTGTTTACACACGGGTTGGGCGCGGTCCTCGCATGTCATTCGGTAATGTCAAGCGAACCTATGCAATTGGCACCAATGCATTATGACGCCCCAGTAGGCTACTGTCGACGTTGGAGTCTCGATCATGGAGCGCAGGCTGTTCGTTCGAGTGAAGCACTTTTGCTGTGTGTATCCGATCGCATCCGAATGTGAAGGAGCTCTTTGCTAAAACGCCAACGTCCTGGCGCATTGAGCTTTGTTGTTGCTTGGTGTGCACCGTGCGAGTGGCAAGCGCGATACCTTGAGGCTCTTGCCCGGTGAAGGCCGAAAGGCAAAATGGACGATGTAGAACAAGATGGACCTGAGGCGGACATATCTGGTGAGCTTGCTGGAGCTTACCATACGATACCGGCGTAGCGTTGCGTTTGGTCGTAGGCTGACATGCTCATCTGCAATCGGCATGATCAGTCGAAAGGACGTATATGCAAAGTCCACGTCTATGCCGTTCGTTGCTTGCTGTGCCTTGCATGTCGTTGTTTGCTTACTGTGCGTTGTATCTACTCTGTAGTGGTGAGCGCACAAGAGAAAGGGAGTGAGCAGAAAAGTTGATCAGGGCTTCACTTGGTGCTGTATTTACAACGTGTCTAACGTTGCTGCTCAAAGTGCTAGTTTGTCTACAAGCCCCTTCCATCTAGCGTCCTCTCGGAGATGCTTCGACAGCAACTCTAGCTCTTCCTTGTAACTGCGTTTCTCTTCCAGCACGCGAGCCACGACATCGTCACCTGTTCGCCCACTCTTTCCGCACGCGAGCCACTCCAGCGTTTCTCTTTAAGCACCCGCCCGATCCACGTCATCGTCACTCAGTTCGCTCACTCGCTTACTATAGCGCTCTACATACCGCAGCCACCGCTTGAAGCTCGACTCAAGCTGCGCCACCTCGCCTCGCGTTGTTCGACCAATGGATTGAACGGTTTCTCCATTGCAAAAGGCATCATTTAATACACTTCTTCGGGGCTCAATCCTGACTCCAACCACCGACCGAATACGACCTCATCATACTCATCTCGCATGTAGGACATCAATTGTTGCTACACCGCGATGCCATCTTGCCTGATCCATAATCAAATTATAAAATATAGACTTCGCCTGTTCGTCGGGCACTTTGGCCGCAAGTAGTCGTCCATAAACAACATGCTCCAGCCATCGCTTAGCCGTAGTCTCGTCCTCTAGCAGCGTCACAAGGGCCTTGTCCTTCGACATCGAAGCCAGAGGTTCGACCTTCATCAACATGCTTATGGCTTTGTCCTCCAGCAACTTCTCCATCGCCTCCTCCTTTTCCTTCTCCTGCGAGTGTAGCACCGTGCTTCGGCACCGAATCGATAGCTTCCCTCAACTCGTTTCGCAGCTTGATCTTGCGCTCGTCGCGAGAGAATAGGAGAGAACGAGCCATGAACTCGTCATTAAAACAAACCCACTCCACAACTCTATTCCAAAGGCAGAGGTCCCACTTCTTCTGAGTCTCGAACGGTCCATTTAATCATCTCCAGTTCAACTCAATAGACATCAAGTCGTAGGCTTCCACAGGGGTCGTTCCCGACTCTATCCAGATGTCGATCAATCTTGGTCGCATGTCTGCAAATTTATCATACAACTTGGCTTGGAACTTGTCAGCGTAATGCTTCATACTAGATGGAAGGGACGTGGATAAGCGCAACACCTCTTCCTCTCCTCTAAACTTCACCAGCTTCTTAAATGCATCAGCGCTGCTGCCTAATGCGTAAGACTTGTCAACGTATTCAAGCCAATCGATGCTGTCAGCAAGAATAGCAGGCCACGCCGCCTCTGCTTCGTCGCCAGGTGTAAGCCGGGGCCGTTCACCAATCGGCATCATGTGGTAGACGTCGTCGTGATCGGACCTCGCCTTCAGCCACAAAGGAGTGATCACCTCCAGCGACAATTTGTCACGTAGCACTCTTTGCAGCTCGATGGCGCGATCCTTCTGATTTCCAAAGACTTGAAGCCAGTCAAAAAAATTCACCAGCCGTTGACTGTCCCCTCCAAATTTCGTCAGCAGGGAGTCGACGATAGCAGTGTCGCCGAACGTGTGGGATGGACTATGGTACCTGTCAGCAAGCTGGATCCACTGGGAGAGCTCTGGTCCGACGTCTCTGACCTTGCGCTCCACTCCCACGTTAATGTTATTGAGAGCTGCCAATGGGTGCTCCTCTTGATCGCCAGCTTTCACGAAATCGGTCAATGGCTTCGCCAGTAGGCCTTCAAGTTCCATCTCGTGACCGTCCGGTGGGTGCCGCAGTTGAACGCCAGTTTCCTCGAGAGCTTCCGATACGTGTTTGAGCGACGGCAGAAGCGTCGTGCCCATTGCTTCGACTGTCTCTGGTGGTACGTGTCCACCCCTCTCCTCGTCGTTCCTGAGTCCGTGGTCGATCTCGTTGAGCGGCAGAGGCCGAGTCGTGTGCCTCCAGGATGTTCGGCGCGGCAGACGCATTCGCCTCATGGCGAGACGGGATAGTCACCAAGTTGAGGGCGCGACGGTCAGTTTGGTCACCGCCAGCTGTGGTGGAGGCAGCACTTTTCAGCACGAAGATGGCGCAGGTCGTGGTCAAAGTCCATGCAGCGCGCATACCGACAGCCGGGCACTTTGCAGAATGAGAGGAGAAGCTGCACCACCTCTTCGCCGCAACGCGTGAACCACCCACTTGTCAGCCAACTCGTAAGCGTCAAGAGAGCCGATTCCTGCAACATTCCGTCAGCTCCCAGGTCTGGTCTCCGTACTAATCCGAGCCAGAGAATGAACATGGCCGCGTTGCACGCACAAAACCAGACGTAGACTCAGAGGTCCCGGCTAGTCAGGCTCCACATGTTGCTGCCAATCACGCACGTACCACTGCAGATGGTGCGTAAAAATCAGCATGTCGCGATAGACGCTGCTTCACTGTCTGAACGGGTCAGCTTTATCCCACTCTCTGAACGGGTCAGCTCGGGCCAGTAGGGACGCACACGGAGACGCCCGAACAACAGAGAAAAAAAACGTGATACCAGGTGGCGCTAGAGAACGTTCTTGTGCTGCGCAGAGCAGGCAGGCGCAGGGCTGTGGAGAACAGCTGATCCGAGTCACAGCGCATCGTACAAGTGCTGCGATCGTTGCGCATAGCCTGGTATTCTGAGCCGCGAAGTTTGATCGGGTGCGCTCAAGTCGATCTCCAATGACGACGCGCAGTTGCAAACTGCAAATGATCCGTCCGGCTGTCTCACGGACACAAGTGTCGGGAGACCGATGATCCCCTCAGTTGATGGCTACAGCTGGTCGGATGACGCCCTCGCAGCAACGTCTCGCCAAAGCCCGCGACATTGCTGCACAACGAACGTGCAGACGCTTGTGCACGTGTCGCGATCCCGCGGCACGCACGGGGACGAGACACACGACTTGTAATGAACACTGCAACACACCCTGCAACAACCCGTACGAAACCACAGCGACGATCGTTGAAGTCGACGTGGTAGCTGCGTGAACACACGTGTGATTCGTGTCAGTACGTACTGCATGCGCGGAGGGGAAGCGGCTGCCTCCACTGAGTCCTTCGTCCGTGTGTGGCGACACCAGAGACTGTGCGCAAGCATCACTCTTACGTGGTCAGGTGGCTGTTGGGACCCGTCAGTGAACGAGCGAATACGGGCCGCACACCGATGACCGTGTGAGCGTCCCGTGCTGGAACTGTCAGTGCAACACGTGAGAGTTGCACTGACAGGGTGGGAAGCTCCCAAAGAAGACAGAACACGCTCGCTTGACGTCAAAGAGTTCTACATGCACTGCTCAAAGTTAGCCTCCCTAGCTCTCGTTCATATACACGAATGATACGACTTCCAACCCATCTACTTGAGAAACCGCAACCCACTGTGTGTATCTTGTCAAGTGGTGGATTGGCGAATGGCGACGGCGTGTGTCCGGAATGACGTAAGCGCGACTCCATCCCGACGGGCGAGTTTGTTGTACAAGTAGAGTGGAACCCCTCGAAGCTAATACAATCGGGCGGAGGAAAACAAATAGGTAGTAGAGGACATTCGGTAGCAGGGGTTGGGTAGTCGCGTAATCTGCATTCAATTGGACAGTATTATGGAGTGCATGGATGAATATGGTCACAACTCCGACAAACAAAACTACATTTGCCCTCGGCATGCGATGATGGACCAATAGGAGATTGCTATTTAGTTATAGCCAATCCATGATCCTTTATATAGCAGTTTCAGCGAATCGGACTGTTAGGGTAGGGAAGTGGGTGCACTTGAGACCCGGTAGCTCTCGTTTTAGAGTCTACAGACAGAACGTTTTGGGTCGCAACGACGAGCTTGCGGAGCGCTTTGCACGGTTTAGCGTGCGGTATTACAATTCGCTTCACATAAGTGCAATGCACAAAAACACGATCTAATGTCGAGTTGCACCAGCCGTTTCATGCGACAATGCATCTGCGTCAAAAACGATCCTGCTCTATCACAACCGCAGCAGTTATTGCCCCTTTTCGAGCAATCGTAACATTGCAACAGAGCACCAACAGACAGACACAAACACAACCACACACAACACAACCATAAACACAACTGCTTTCGTCTCCTCCCCCGCTCTAACGCGCAAGTCCCTATTCCCGCCCCACCTCAGCTCGATCGCTCTGCTTGCGCTCTTCTCCTTCCCACGTGATGCGTGTGCTCCTGTGGTTCCGTCGCGACCTGCGCCTGCACGACAACTTGGCGCTCCACAAAGCACTGGCGCTGCTCAACGCGCCACCAAAGACGCAGTCGACTGCAGCCGTTGGGTTCCTCCCGCTGTACATTGTGCGTCGGCCCCAAGTAATGCGCTGCGGCGCCACCCGCTTCCAGTTCATGCTCGAGAGCGTCTCGGACTTAAGCGAAGCAGTCGAAGCGCGCGGGGCCCGTCTGCTCGTGGCCACTGGCGACAGCGTCGAAGTGCTGCGGCGGCTGTTGCCCGCGTGGGGCGTCACGCACTTGTGCTTTGACGCGCGCGTTGAGCCGTTTGCAGTGGCGCGCGACCGCCTCGTCCTGTCATTGGCCAAACGTCTCGGCGTGCAGACGCACGTGACCAATGGGTACAACTTGTACGACCTCGACGCGGTGCTCGCGGCGAACGGCGGCGCTGCGCCGAAGACGTACCGCGCGTTCCGAAACGCAGTGGCGTCGCAGCCGTCGCCGTCGCTGCCGCTGGAGGCACCAGCGACATTGCCAGCTCCGAAGAGGACGCGTCGAGAACTGTATGGCCAAGTGGAGGAGTATTGGCAAAGCCACACACGAGACCAGGACACGAAGGAGCAGGACGAACCGATGGCACCGTTGGATAGCATTGCCGGACCCGAGCGCGAGTTTACGTTACCGGACGCAAAAGCGTTCGGGTACACACTACCGGAGAAACACTCGTTTCTCTACGGAGGCGAGCGCAATGCTCGAAAGATTTTAGAGACCTATTGTCGTGAGGAAGGTCGTGTCGCTACGTTTGAGAAACCTAAGACGTCTCCGGCTCAGATATCGCCAAGTCCATCGACATCAACGCTGAGCCCGTACTTGGTTTTCGGATGCCTCAGTCCGCGGACGTTCTACCATCAAGTCCGATTGATTCAGAAGAAGCACAAGAAAGCGTCAGCACCCCCTGTGAGCTTGGACGGACAGCTCCTGTGGCGAGAATTCTACCATTGTCATGGCCACGCCAATCCGTATTTTGACAAGATGGAGGAGAGCTCTACTTGCTTGCAGATCAATTGGCGGTGGCATTCCATTCCGGAGACAGAAGACGATATGACTGACGACGACAAGCTTGCTCGCACCCATTTTGAGGCGTGGAAAAACGGGCAGACTGGGTTTCCATGGATTGATGCTATCATGATCCAGCTAAAGGAGGAGGGCTGGATCCATCACTTAGCGCGTCACTCTGTAGCTTGTTTCCTCACACGTGGTGACTTGTACATTTCGTGGGTACGTGGACTCGAGGTGTTCCAAGAAGAGCTCATTGATCACGACTGGAGCCTAAATGCCGGCAACTGGCTCTGGCTCAGTAGCAGCTACTTCTTTACGGCGTACTTCCGCGTGTACTCTCCCATATCTTTCGGGAAGAAATACGATCCGGAAGGCCTCTATATCAAGAAGTATATCCCAGCGCTCAGGAAGCTGCCAGCCAAGTATATATACGAGCCGTGGAAAGCTCCGCAAAGTGTGCAGGATACGTCGGGGTGTCGCATCGGCAAAGACTATCCTGCTCCTATTGTGAATCACAAAACCGCAATGGACAGGTGCTTGGACGGGATGAAGAGGTCGTTTGCCAATAAGCAGTACGGTAGTCCACCACCTTCCTCACGAAAGCGGCAGCGCGAAGAATCAGCGAATTGATCGGATCGACGACCCGTGAACTGAAGAATCGTGTAGAGAGTTGCTATCGGGACACGGGGCAACGGTGACCCCATGTTTGCAGCCTTCTCGGATTGCCATGAGCTGACAGTAGCGACGTCTTACCATTTACACGCACTGTCTGCCTTTCGAATTCTCGTGTTTCATCAGGACGCGCTAGGATACAAAGTGGCGGTGGCCTTGTACGTTGTGGTGCATTTGTCGGAGGGTGATTGGAATCACTACGGTCGTCAGCTATCGTGAGAACGGATTGCGTCGTTCAGCGCGTTTTCGTCACTACTGTACCGTCCGACGGCAGCCTTTCGAGTGTCGCCGCATGTCATTTGTTAGCGATAGAGTCAAAACACGGTAGCGCAAAGAAGGGAACAGAAGTAAGGGTCCGGAACTAAAAAGGCTTATGCTTCGTGAGTCGTGGGTGACGAGCTAGTGCATCGCGATCACGCGCTCAGCGTTGTCGAACGAGCTCATCGTCGAGAACGCAGCTGGTGAAGAGACATGTTTCACTGGCTCTAGCCCAGATCCGCCGCCAGCTTATGCGGCGGGATGTTTGCACCGACGCCCGGGCGGGCGATCCCGTTGCGTACTAATCCCAACGAGGCTTGTTACGCCACTTGGGTAAACTGTCCGAGCTATCTACGGGTCCACTTCAGACCAGGTTGATCGTATGCTTGCGAAGTTCGCGGGTGCAGCTGACTGTGCCGACCTAGCAGACAGCTGAAAACATACCTTTCTTTTCGTGAGTGCCATGTTTTCGTAAGTGTTCGAAACACAGGCGTCATGGCAAACACGCCGTTTCGCGTCGGCTTCGTGGTTGCCAGGTCAAGTCCGTTGCATGAGCACAATGGATGGGTTTCTACACGATCGGGAAGGTTTGTAAGTCAGTGGAAACGGTAACAAGCAAATTTCACAGAATCACGTGCAGTGAACTGATCTTGGTCTTTATTTGGAGCCCACTGCCATTCCGCCTCTATGTTCTCGTTGTTCAGCCCCGAGACGATGCGTGACGAGGAACAGACACCGTGTGCCGTACATTCACACCATACCTTCCAAACGCGAAGTCCACACCCTCCCTACCAATCTCGGAGTCCGGACCCTTCCTGCCGAACTCGAAGTCCACATCCTAGTTGTTTGTAATCAAATGTAGCGGAGCTACGCAGCTTCTTAAGTCAGAGGAAGACTTAACGCTCTTACGTGCAACTAAAGGTTCTACGAACCCGACTCAAAGAGTCAACAGCTCAGAGAGCTAAAGGGTGGTTCAAAGAACCCGACTCAAAGAGTCACACAAGCTCAAAGAGCTTACGGTCCCTGTTCGAGGGGGACCAAACGATTCAAAGAATCAAACGCACTGAGTGCACAAGGAGTAGCTGCCTTAACAAGGCGTTGCTACTTCCTTACGATCGCAAGACGCCTCAGAGAGGCACGTGTCTTTTGTTGATCGAAATGGGAACTTAATTTAATTTCTTTTCTTAACCTAAAAGAACACCTTCGAACAAAGTAATTACCTACTCACTTATGTCCAAAATAAACCTAGCAAAAGATCTTGTACCAATTGTTGACAGACATCAGTCTTCAACAATTGATACTTGTGTTCCAATATTACTTTAAAGGGGATCCCATCCCTTGTGTGTACCACACCTATTGTCGACTACCAGCCGACGTGTAACCCCGTTACACCCTCCCCCACCAGACTGACGTTTCCACATAACGTCAATCAAATTCTTTCCTCGAAGAGGACTGTGTGTGTGCGCTTCAACCTTACGGTTGGCAAAACACAAAACACCATGGCATCGCCACCCCATGATTCCTCGACTCTCTCGTCTTACCTCGGCATCGATGTGGAGGTGGATTATGGTAGCGATACCAATATTCATGGTGAAGAGAGGACAATGTCCGACTCACCAGTGCAAGAGGCAGCGCCTCATATTGCACCAAACCCATTTGCCGAGCGTGGCGAAGCCAACGCGCCAAGGGCGCCGCATCAAACACCTTTTGTGGGCGATGCCATCATCCCTAATTCGCTCGATGAGCAACAAGAGTTGGCTATCCAACGAGAGGAGAGCGCTCATCGCCGTATGCAGCTTGCTGCAACCCTTGAGGGTCGTTGTGGCTATCTGTTCACACCACTCAATGTGGAAGAGCGTATACGCCAAACGACAGGTCGTTATTTGGCAACGTGGGCCATTAGCGCTGAGCCTACATCTTTTGATGAGGTGGCGAGTCGACAGGCACTTCGTGAGAGGTACTTGCAACCCCACTTGACGACTCAAATTCAATACAAGTTGCGACTTGACACGCAAACACGGGGTGCACTGGTTTTACCGATGAAGGGTATACCCATCCCCTTATTCGCAGGCGAATCTCAGGAGGAAGAAGACAACACTTTTATTCGACGGGTGCATCGGAAACGACACCTCATCAGCGTGTTATCTCTCAGAGCAAGTGCCGATGTGGAAGACGTTTTCCTAGAACGAAAGATTCGGTATGATTACGTCAAGCTTAAGGCCAGAGACCAGTTGCGAGCTTGCACACGCTATGCCCCGGCTGTGCCGATTGATGCGGGTGTTGGTCAAGCGGTACCCAACTACCCACCTGCCTCCACCACTATTGGTGAGAAGCGCTCTCGGTCGAGGGATGACCCCTACCACGATGTTTAAAAGCATGACCGGCGTATGGGCAATCCTGCCGAAGGGGTGTCTCAAATTCCCACGAGTTCTCCGACTCCAGGTCCCCACGCCACTTCACCGGATGCTGATATTGACCCTGACGACTACGTCGTTTCAGGAGTCGCTCCACATGGAACTGGCGGTTCCATTGCTCATCGAGAAGCGTCGGAGGTGGTCAGTATACCGATGGAGGAGCATGAGAAGATGCTTCTCGAGCTGAGTGGTCTCCGTGAGATATTGGGTAAGACCCAGAGTGCGTTTGACGTAATGCGAGCCCGTGTCCAGGCGTTGGAGTTGGGTCAAGCCCGGATGGAGGCTCAGCTTGACCTCCTGGTACGGATTCAGCAACCGATGGCAAGGCCAACCTATGCGGCACAAGCGCCTCCAAGTTCTCGTGGGACGGATCCCGATACGGCTTAAGCAAGCCAACGTAGAACACGGGGTGTGTGCGCAGTTTGCGCGGAAGGTTGATCGTAAACGCAAGTCCCTTCTTGGCGACGACTGTGAATGGTCCAATGAAGCGCTGACGCAACTTTGTCTTGAAGACAGCAGACACTACATTTGTAGGTAGTTTTTTAGCATTGAGAAGAACTCGGTATACGACCTCATAACGTTCAATACAACCTATGCCGTTAGCATCAGCTTGTTCCTTCTGCTTGTCTTGGCTATCAGCCAGTGCGTCACGCACATGTCGTAATACATTCAATCGCGTTGCGAGAAACTCGCTTACCTGTTTTTGAACAGTAGCAGGGCTGATATCAGCAAGCCGATCGGCAACTCCTCCCCCACCAAGCCCTGGACCACGCAGTGGTAGCGTTAACGGAACGCGAGGGTGTGTGAGACCATTCACATAAAACGGTGTGTAGCCGGTGGAGGCATGCACGGCGTTATTCAACGCAAACGCAACGACAGAGATCATCGAGCTCCAACTCTTAGGAGTTTTAGCGAAAACACTGCGCAAGATGTCACCAATGATGCGATTCACTCGCTCGGTTTGACCATAAGTCTGCGGAGGATCCGCTGTGGACATGTCCCAACGTGTGCCGAGCACCTTGAAGATGGACTTCCAAAACTTTCCAGTGAAGCGGGGACCTCTATCAGAGACAATTGCCAACGGCAAACCGTGTTGTCGAAACAGGCGATCGACTAAAAGCGTCGCTTTACCTTCACCATCAATGGTATCTGGCACCGCCGCTAAATGAGCCATCTTGCTCGAACGGTCACCAAATACCACAATACCCGTATTTCCATACGAATCCTTCGGTAATCCGAACAGGAAGTCCATACTGATGGACTCCCAACACCCCTTCGGTTCTAGGCAAACTAGCCAGTGGCGCGGCCGCGTGATGTGATGGTTTCAGCCGTTGACACGTTTCACACGTACGCACATATGTGCTCACCCGTTTGTATAGTTTGGGCCATCAATAGCATTGGCTAACTGAGACGTAGGTCTTCTCACGACCGAGATGACTACTTAAAGCTGTATCATGTGCCTCATAGAGGATCCGATTCTTCAACTCCTCATCATGAGGGACAACGATGCGAGGGAAATCCTCCAAATCCGTGCTATAGCACAACAGGCCTTGATCGATAGAATATCTATGTAACCTCGCATTTAACCGTGCCGACAATTTTATGTCCGAGTCATTAAACTTCTCGCTCCCTAGAGCACGTAGCAGAGCTATACAGTGTTCATCTTTGGTATATGCCGTACAAATTAGGTCAGTGATCGACGACGACAGAGTCGTAACATTACCAAGCTCATAGTCAGGCCTGCGTGACAACGCATCAGCCAAATCATTCTGCTTGCCCGACTTATACTTCACCTCGAATTTGTACTCGGCAAAGAAGGAAAGCCAACGAGCCATTCTCTGAGAGACGTGAGGCGACTGGGTCGCAGTGCGTAGTGACGCATGATCTGTATAGATCACATACGGCTTAGAGCCAAGAAGATGAATCCTGAATTTGACGAGAGCATACTTCATTTCAAGTAGCTCTTTTTCATGAACAGGATAGTTCTTTTCTGCAGCCTTCAGCTGCCGGGACTCAAACGCAATGACGCGCTCCCGGCCATCAGAATCTGTCTGTAACAGAGCGCTGCCTATATCAAAGTCAGATGCGTTACAGACGACACTGAAAGGTCGATCAGGATCAGGCAAAGCCAAGATTGGCGCATGAAGGAGACTCTCTTTAACCGCCGTAAAGGCTTCATGCTCGGTGCTAGTCCAGCACCATTCCACATCCTTTATAAGGAGCTTCGATAATGGCCGAGCCATATTTGCGTAATTCGCACTGTACTTGTGCAAATAATTGGCAAGG